AAGATTAATTATCCTTATTCTTTATCGAACGTCGGACATCGACTACACCTCGACAAACAGAATTTTTTACTTTTTTATGCGGTGGAAGATACTCGTCAACGTCGAGAACACGAATACCAAACGATTACTCGCCCGGACCATTAAAGCTCACTCCATTGTTTTGCTCACCCCTTCGCGGTCGTCAGTTATACTTTCTAATTATAAAACTGGCGCAAAACGGGAAAAACAACTGGAAATTTTTTATCGAAATTATCCTGATGTTTGATTTATCGTCGTTAGAGTATTAAGTGGCACGTCACTCGATACCAGGTAACGATAATTTTCGCCCGAGCCGGGCTCAAGGCCGATGGCTCCTCCATCAAAAGCAAGCGCGAAAATCTAGCAAACGGGGTTAAGAGGTTCTCTCGGGCCACTCGAGAGTCGAGAGAAATCCATAATCCGTTCGAATTTCCCGTGGTGGGGGCGGGAATCGTGCCAAAAACATTACTTCGGCTCGTCCGCGACCTTCGACAGAGACCACGTGACGAGCGGATGGCTTTAAAAATAGCCCGAGGGATAAAGGTGGTAATTAGAGAAAAGAAAATCCCATTTCGATGCGCCTCGGAAACTGGCAGAAACTGCCAAAAACCCTCTCGAAATCTGTAGATTTCGATAAATCGACGATCCAATTTTGAATGTGCGTCGAAAGTTTAAAGGGCTAAAGAAAAATATTCGTTTGGATACGCAACTTTTTCTACTCGAAGCCACGTTTAGTGTACAACATTGCTCTTAATTTGCCTAAAATCTCTATTCCTTTGTAATTTTACCCGATTAAAAGTGCATTAAAGCATAGAGCCAAAACTCCTTTTAAATCATTCTCGCTTAACCCCCATTAATATATTCTTTCTGGCTCGATATCAAACAGCGAAATGTACCGTACGTCGTATATAGTGCTCTACCTACTAGTCTACTAAGTAAATTTTATTTATATCAATGCAACGATGTGCCACCGCGCTCCATTTGTCATCATAAACAGAGAAAAAGGTACAGTTTCGCATTTCTACACTCGATGAGGACTTAAATATCCTCTCGCAATTTGTTGGAGGACCACAAATAACCGGTTTTGTTCCGACGTCACTTTTGTCGCTACCCGTCCTTGGGTTAGCGACAAGGATCGCTTCGTAGAACTAAACAATCCCAGGAAATTTAATTAGAAACAAAAATTAAGTAGACTCTCACGTCTCCATCCTTCGTTACGTACCGTTCGCAGCATCCGTTAATACGAGGGGATATATTAGCCACGCAGACCGCAAAAGACCCCCTTTCACGTAATGTGGTTAAGATGCTAAAAATGCTACGTAGACAAAAGGCAAAACATCTCCTGTTTAATTACTATATTTACGCTATAAGTTGGCAATAGTTTAAATATAACTATTACATTTCCGGGAGCAATTCGTAGGATTGGTATCCTAAACGAAAAACGTCATTTCCGACTTTAAATACGGTCCATTTGTCTATCGCCACTGTCGGTATCTAGAAAATACGCTTAACTCTCGTAAAGTACCCAAAATCCAAGTTAAGGATCCGCAGGATCGTCCGGATTTAGACCACTTATCCTTTATCGATCGACCGACCAACTCGTCTGTTTGTCGTTCCGGATAAAGGAGAATTTTCCAGATAAAATTATGTCCCGCCTAATTAAACGGGAGGATTATTCGACCGGCTTTAATTCGAAACGGACATTTTTTTCTTTATTCTTGATACAGAAAACCGATAGCAACAAATAATTCGCCTGGCGATATTCGTCACGGATTATAGAAAGTTCGTACCTTCAACCCCCCCTCGCGAACACGATTTAGTATATTAAAATTCCGTAGAATAGCGGGATGTTGTTACGCGTAAAAATCCGATTCATTACCATTATGCGAAGGTGCACGTAGATAATGGGTTTATTTGTCTGTTTAATGGCGGATTAAGTCGAGAGTCTCGATACACAAACCATAACGAAACCATTAAGATCGCCCTCTCGGACTGTCAAGACGCTATTACCTACGTCATATCTCGATATTAGAAACCTACCACTACTATTCGTAAACACGAGACAATATTTATAAGTTGGCACGCGTTTCGTCATTACTCTTTTAAGATAAATGACGAAACAATATTCAAATCTGACAGACTGGCGTGGGAAGAGAGGAGCAAGAACGGCGACCAAAGGTCACAATCATGAGGAAAATCGGAGGGTGAAACGAAGAAAGAAACCGGAAGCGTCGCCATCTAGTGACGACTCGCATCACTTCGGGAGAAGAGGTGCCGTCACGTGCACCGGCGGATAGAAAAATATTCTTTCCGCCCGAATCGGGACTCCAATGTTAATTTCGGCGTTGCCGTCCCGGAAGGAAAAGGCCAAAGCGGAAGGTGGTCCGGGGTGACGGGTAATTAGTGGTGACGAACGAGACGGCGCTCGATAATGGGCGGACGAAAGGACCGCTTGATAAATAGGCGGAAGAACGACAGAAATGTAATTCGGGCCGCGAAACAGACGAGCCGTTCCCACGCCTAACCGGGCAAAAGGATATCGGAAGTCCTTCCATGTAGAGATTCGCAAAACACCGGAAATGCTTCTCTTTACAAAAGAATTTTGGTCCATTCCAAGAGGCCATTTTATCGCATCTGACAGAGACATTTTTGGAAAAAGATTACGTCACGGACTAGACGGGTTTAATCCTCCGACCGCATCAAATACCACCAGAAGTTTGTCTTACTAAAATAAGATCCATTGTAAACCGCATATTCGTTTCCATACTTCCACTTTTTTAGTTTCGATCCGAATTTCGGAATACTCCCTCCCCTCTACTCCGCGTAAATTGGAATGGGTCCAAACTGGAGAAAGACGAGCGGAAAGAACCGAACCGACGGGTCGGAAGATCACGCGGGCGCACTCGCCCCCAAAAGTCATCTCTACCCCTCCTAAATTAGGGTCACCTTCTTATATAGGTCGAAAATCAGTTCATTCCTTACGTCATAGGGGATGAAAACAGCGTGGACCTTTCTATTCTGAGTGACGTCACCCGGTTTCCTTTAGAGGATGCGAAAACGGAATGATGTCATACCGTTAATGACGATATTGACGTATCCACTCGAGAACCTCCTCTCGCTACGTAATAATAATAATAATGAAAATTATGCTAATTATTAAAACATTTTCCTTTAATATATTCGTTTACTTTTCTTCCAATTCTAAAAAAGAAAATCTAATTTACAACCTGTTTAAAACCGATAAGTAAATCCTAGAACTTTAATCCTCCTACCTACCAATTAATGAATTGTCAGTACAAATAAAATGGCCCGATTAACATAAATTATGCTAATTATATAGTAAAAACGACCTAATTAGCATAGCTTATGTCATTGTCTCGTATGATAATTAGATACGGAGATTTGTACCGAGACATTCTATTTTCGAATCGATAATATGAATTTTTCAACATTAATTAGAAAGATGAATCTCAAAGTAACAAATAATACTCTTTATTTACAGTGTTATTTATTTGGAGCCGTCTTTATTAACCTGGGCTTCACGCACACTCCTGGACGGAGGTACAGTACAAGATAATAATAACTGGCGGTAAAGGTATTAGTTTTTTAATTTTAAATCTTTGTTTCTCAACAGAAAACGAGAAAAAAAATCCCTTTTTTAAATAAAAACTTAGTTAAGTGTTACAACGTTAAATTTAATTGTATATTTTTTCTGTTGTAAATCCCCAACCTAGTCATTTTTTTATACGAATGAATTATGCTGAATTTTCTCCTTTAATCGCTTAGGCTGTACTTAAAGTTAGGCTAAAACACACACACAAAAGAGACAACTCTACCCCTTTAAATTAAAAAGGAAGTTTTCATCGGGGTGCAAGATGGCGCGTTTGAAAAATTCGAGGAGTAAAAGATTAAAATGCACCGATTCGGCGTGTTAAATATAACACAAATATTAAACTTATTTAATGTAAAAATTTGGGGGTGGGTTCCAAAATAGTTCTTGAAAACCGATAGTTACAACATTATGCTATGACCTGGAAAAAGATTAATTTCATTCAGAGCGAGTAACATTTTTTTTTTCTTTCTTTAATTTTCGACCTTCCTCGATATGCAAATTACATAATGACTTTATTAACAGAAAATTTGAAACAGGATTTAAGTGGTGAAAAAAAATTTCCTTATTTCCCACGGCGGGAACAAATTACTTTATCTGTCGTCAGAGGGAGCTGCCTGGAAAATTCGGATATTTAACAAATATTGGATTTGTTTAATATAAGAAAGTACCTAACAATTTGTCTTTTAATTAATAACTGTGTAGTTGTGAAGCGAGGCCGTGCACACGGGAAGGACTTTGGCGGTTAACCCCTCCCATTTAGGTAGAAAAAAATTAATAACGTATTTTCTAAACCCCACCCTTTTAAAAATCCAGCGCACGGCTGCTGTGAAGCAACACTTAAATGGACCGTCGGTGAGATAGAAACCTTCGTAACACGAACTTCCCCTTTGTTATTGTAAACTGGAGTAAAGACTTTCACTAGTTACGAGGTAATGCAACTTTAAAATCGTATAAAACCTGCGTAAAAAGGAACCCGTGCAAAACGGAAAAATTTCGGCGGAACTGACCGATAAAGCAGAAAACTCTTTAATTTCTAAGCTCCTTCTTTATAGTTTAATTGACATCGCACGATAATTAAATTAACATAAATGGAGAAAAAGATTTGAGTGATGTGTGACGTCATACAAAACGTCATTTATGTAATAACAGTTACGACTGTACTTAAATTTAAAAAAAAAAAGTCAAAGAATTTCGCGCATCGGCAACGTCATTCCCCATCGAATACTTTTAAAAAGATTTGTTGCTGCTTCTGTTTTCATCGAAAAAAGAAAGCGCAGGGCTCGTGCCAGGAAAAATAAGCCCATTGTCAAATGCTAATGTTTGAAACTTGTAACGGAAAGGATTTAGTCCAAAGAAAAACTAAACTTACCTTTAATATCGGGATTGTCGGTCTTCTCTTGACAATGATTAATCGACGGAGCGTGGGAAAGCTCTAACTCGATACAACTATTATTCCTGGATACCTAAAAGAATTAAAGGGGGAAAAATTAAGTTCCTCTACCTTATCAATCGCTTTATTTGCTCAAGTAACGAGGTTACCATAAAATGGATTAAACTGGAAGGTTATCGACAAAACCGAAGGTCAAAATTCTTCCGAAAACAGATCTATTCCCTTTATTTACTCTCTTATTTTAACTGTAATCAACTACTACAACACAATACAGTTACGTTACGACACAGAAGTCAAAATCGATATAACAGATGTACGATTTAAAAAAGGAGGGATTCACACGACATCCTCTCGGTTGTGATATTATCTCAGAATACGTGAAAGATTAAAATCTTTGGTATTAATTTTTGTAGCACCATTAGCAAATTTTACATTATAAATGACGTTTCCTCTTCGTCTCTAGTATCAAGAATTTTTCTATTAACGAGAATTATAACTATTTATTAAAAACAAACATCGGGTTGCACGAGCCTTTCACAAATGTATACAAAAGATTTAAAAAAATAAGTGAAACAAAGACAGAAAAGAAAATACGTTATGCGTTCTTAATTCAAAAGTACTCGCGTGGCACTCGAACGAAAGATTGTGCCAATTTTTCAGAGGGACGGGTGAGGTCGAAGACTTCGTTACTCGGTCATGGGGTGACAGAGGATCGAAACACGCACGTGAGCAGTGGCGTTGTAAGACGGGCGTTAAGCATCTCGACACCGTGTCACAGAAAAATGCCAACACAACCGGATCGCACGTCCTCGACGTCGCCACATCATCCCGGGGAGGAGAATTTTAACGACAGATATACGACGTCCGTTCGTCTTTCGTCCCCGTCGTTAGCTTCCCCTACAGGCTACTAGTGGAGGAAAAAAGAAACACGTGACGACTCACATCTTCACGATTTTTATGCGTGACGACAATTACCGGTTAAAAAGTTAAGTTATACAAGCGTAAGTAGGAAAAAGAAAACATAATCTCGGAAAGAAACGCGATAAAACGGTTCAGCGTCATTTCTAAACGTAAAATATCGAAGACAAATCTGTATTTTTTGAACGATGTGGGAAAATTCGTAACACGTCGACTATAATAAAATTACTTTGACAAATACGTTTCGATCAAAGCTAATTTTTTTCCGACGTCTAAACATCTGGAATTTTTTGTTCCACAACGACCGATAGATGGCGGGACAGGTCCGCGAAATTCGAAATTCGTTTTCACACTAACTTTCTATTTATAGAACTTCCGTCGCGGATACCCTCCACAGAGAAGCGTTTAACCTCCGGATTTCGCACCTGCTTTGCACACCTGCGCTTCGCAAACTTCATTACACTATGAACTGGTGACAAGCGTCCGTGGCGACAAATTTTAACCTTTCGCGCACCCTCGGCGGGAAACTAACTGCGCAAATTTCTTGACTAGCAAAGTTTTCAAACGGTATTGAGACATCAAAGCATACAATAATGGATACAGCAGCGAACGTATCTGTAGTGGGGTGCGTAAACCCGTATTTTCGAGACTAACTCGACTGTATTCGGAATCTGCGATCGGCGTGCTGTTACGGCCGATATTATCTGATGTACAGGTATGACGCACGCTTTTTCGCTACTCGCGCGACGGCGACAGCGCGAGTTTCTGGAACGGCCACGTATTTTCCTAGTAATAAAACGCGAAAAATACGCCAAAATTTTCGGCAGTTAATTCTAAGAAGCGAATTTTGCTGCTAATTTATTGACGTGCCAAACGCGTCGAGTGACGTCACGTGAGAGTGAAAAGTTTGTTTCCTATTTGGTAAAAATCGGCGTCTACGAGGAACAACAAACACGACCCCGAAACGCCGGATTAAAAATAGAACGGCTTCCGACGGCCGTTTAATCGAGTTTTTCGACACAACTTCTTTTGTGGGCACAGACCAATGGGCGACGATACCGGATGCGACGTGCGCGCCCACCGGAGTCACCCGAACCGACGAATGGAACCTTCCTCCCGGTCGCGGTTGTCCCGTGACGTAGAGATAATTACGTCACTATTTATTATAACAATGCCGGGCCTGACAAAACTTTGACGCCATTTTTTAAAGCCACTCCGGATTTTAAATTTATGTAATATAACTTTTTTCCTCTCTTCTTTTTATCCAGGGGAGGAGCGAAGTTCGTTTCGACTTTGTTGTCGTTTTCGAACGAAAGTGAAAACGTACGATGTTTAAGCATCCCCTGTCGACCTTGGGTCGCGTCCAAGAAAGGCAACCCTTGTCGTAACAACGTGCGTGGACGCGTAACGCCCGTCTCCGGTCACCTCTGACCTTTTTAAAACCCAGATCGGCACGAAATGGCGCGTTTAACCCTTTCGGATAACGGAAAAATAAAAGTTATAAAGTGGCGTGGCCCGCGCAAAAAGTGGATCTGCACGCTTCTTTCCTCATCGATTTGGATGCGCACCGTCAATCGATTAACATAATCGATTACGATGCGTAAATTTGGCATCGCGGGTAAACGGACCAAATCGCGAAAAGTCCATTCAAAAGGACGAGAAATCGTCGATCATTCGTTATTCGCATAAGCAAAAGAGGGAAGGAGGAAGGGGAAACGACAAAATCGAGCAGCCACAAGTGTCGCAACACGTGTTTATAAATGTTATCTATACAATCGTTCGGAGCTACGTTCCGTTTCTGCCCAAGGGAAGTAGAAGTAGAGGGGTGAGAAAACACGATCGGGAAGTGGTGTGCTGGACGACGGCCATCTAAGGAGGAAGAACAGAGTATCGACGGGCCTCCCAAGGGGAACTAACGAAAAAAAGAAAAAAAAAAGCAACCGGGACAACGAGTCGACTCGGAGTTAAAGGGGCCTCGTTTATTGCTCAACATTCTTCTTCTAGCGTAGGTTATTTTTACTAAATATGGTGACGAGTGTCGAGGATCGAACAATTTACGAAGACAATACGTAATTCAGTTTCCTGTTATGCACAAGTGTAAGAGGACCAAAAGATCTACAAATTCACTTGATAGTTTACAAACGTCCAAAGTTTCATAATATAAATATGGTGCTTTGGCCGATTTAAATCGAATAAATACTATAAATTATATTTTTCTTTTTTTGCCACAGGAAGTTATTTTTGAATACTGACAAGAATCTCAAAGTTAATCCGATAAGCCTATAAAAACACTGAATTTATATAGGCAGCTTATCAATATTTATAACATATTTTATATTTAACTTTTATCATTAATAATGCAAAAAATATGAAAACAAAGAGAAACCAAGTTCTTTTTCACACAAAATGCTTAACAAATCTTTTGCTTAATTATAAAAACTTATAAAAATTGTCTTGAAAATGTAAAACGTGTTACATATTGGATATAAACTGTATACATATATAAAGGAATACTATATAATTATTATATATACAATTGTCTCCAAAACATTTATATATAATATGAAGAAGAAAACAGAAGTTTCCATATAAACAAGACAACTCATTAAATTAATATACTACATCAAAGTTTTTCCATTGAAAATGTACTGTATTCTGTACTATTAACTGATAACTAATGTATTATACTGTATTATACGAAATTATTAAATCTAAAGAAAATGAATAATATGATATTGGATCTACTGAAATTGGAATGAGCTGCAACAAACTTAATAATATTTTATTTAAACAAAAATAAGTAAAATTTAAAATAGAAAACTGAATTAAAAACAAAAATATTACAAGTCTGTTACTGAATGTGTCATTCAGTAACACTTGACTTGTTAAAAATAAAAACTTAACTTTATTATCTTTAAAACTTGTAGGAGTTTGCAGATGAATCTAGAATATTACTATTTTGTTGCACGAAATGCCAAAAATTACAACCACTATTATAATGATTACATTATTAAAGTACAAAAATATTATAACAGTATAAAATTATTTTCCATAGACATAAAAAATTTACAGAAACAATATTAAAAATTATTTCAAAGTATAATAAATAAAACAAACATGCAACATTTTCTGACTTGTACAAATAAATAAAATGGTCAGATTTTAATATATATTTTTGGAATGTATCGGATATTCCAAATTTTTCTACAACACTCAAATGTCTAGTGTTTTCCAATTCTTTTGCTCTAATATATTAAAAATTATTACCATAAGAGTTCCATATTATTTTCGAACAAAATGGCTTTAATGGAAATATATAATATGGAAGGCATTTTGGAAAGCAGTTCTGTAAATCATTCAAATACTAAATTTCTTTGTTTCTATATCATTTCAGCTTTAACAAACACAGAATGAAACAAAGACACACAAATTATTGATAGTAAAATTTAGTGAACAAATATCAAGAACAAACATTATTTAATTATCATAAGTATTATTAACTAAAAACTAGTAAAAAAAAACAATAATTTCACTGATTACAATTAAAAAATGGAATAATAATTATAAAACTAATTGCTAATGAACAACACCTAATCATATATATATTTAATTTTATACATTTCAAATGCTACAAAACACTGTCATGCTAATTATATGAATTTTCCATTTTCCTGTCTGATGTTTAAAAAATTTGATTGTTCTTTTCAAAGAATTAATCTACATTTTATCATTTCAATTTATTCCAGACATTAATCTAAATTTTAACATACACAATTTTTATAATGCAAGACTCCAACTACACAATGAAATCATCACCACCTAATGAAATATATTTACTACTTTCTGACTAAATTAGAATTTGTAAACATATCCCTATTAAATAATGCTGTTCCATATTTATGACATAAATTAAAAACAAAAATTCTATCATTCTTTAAAGCAAAATACATCATTTTTAGATAAGAATCATTAAATACTTATCAATTCCAGTAGCCATAATGCTGTATACAATCATATTATAAGAAAGTTAAGTCATATATTCATGTAACTATAAATACTCTATTGATGAGTAAGCGTGTGACAGTATTGAAAGCAGATGTAAAATGACTTCATTTAAATTAGTTGACATTTTTATTTTAGAACTTTATTACCAGT